AATACAAACACATGCATGTATATATTTAAGAAAATATGCTATGTTTATATATATAATATAAAATATAATAATATAAATATATATACACATGTAAATATTTTCAAAATATATACTGTATGTGTGTGCATTTATATATACATAATAAATAAACACAGTACACATACATATAGTATGTAAACAAACATTTTTATTTTGGATGCGATTAATCGTTTGACAGCACTAGTATATACATGACTGCTTTTGTGCTCCAGCTCCAGGGTCACATTTAGTCTCTAGTTTAAAACTACACTAAAACTAACTCAAATGATGCTGCCCTTTTTTCCCCTTTTTTAATGAGAGCCAGGTTTAGTAATTCAAAATTAAAACTAAATAAGATGTTTAAGATTAATTCTTCCCAAAAAACTTAAAACAAGATTTGGATTTATTTGATTAAAAACCTATCAACCGAAAGAATCAAGTTTCTCACAGGAGTTTATTACAGTCTAGACAAGATGGACACTTGGGATAATTCTCTATGCGGTCAAAACGTTGGGCGCGCGTGTGGTTTGCGGTGTTGTGTGACACGAGGAATTACTGCACGATTACTGTAAATACCTTCAGTTTCCTCCGAGAGTTGAACTTCCTCAGCTGCTCCACCGTCTCGGGCAGGTGGATCTTGTACGAGTAGCGATCTCTCTCCTGCACGACACGCACAAACATGAGACAAACTCAACCCGATACCATGCTTGAAGGTCACAAACAGGAAGTGACTTCTACAGGAGGAGAAATGACAATCAGGTTAATTTTGAAGACAATAGCAGCAGCGTGTGACCTTGAGCCAGGGATGGTTGAGCGCCTCATAGACGGTGATTCTCTCGGCCGGGTCCAGCATTAGCATGCGTCGCACCAGGTCTTTAGCGCTCTCAGAGATCTGACTCCACTGCCGCGGGTTCATCTGACAAACAAACACACCGCTGAACCACACAAACGACTGGACCGGCTTCATCCAGCTGCAGCTATGAGTGCTCGTTTGTAATGACACAGAGCTCGGTTCTGACCACTGTATTTCCCGTACAAATATCTAAACACTATTAAAGCAAGATTCATTTGACAGAAGAGTAGTCTTTAGCATAAAATATCTGACAGTGGGGTCAGAGAATAAACTTATTTAAAATAATTTATAATATTTTTATTATTTAAAAAAGTTTATTTTTCTGATCCCATTGGCAGATATTTTTCATTGTTTTAATTAAACTCATAATCTCTCAGAAAACAAGACTTCTCATCTTCTGTCATTTTGCATTAAGTAAATCTATCATGATTTAAGAATTTAGAAAACACTAGAAAAAAAAAAAATTCTTACTTGACTATTGACTATTATTATTTTAAATCCTTTTATATGTAAAGCACTTCGAATTACAATTGTGTATGTAATGTGCTATATAAATAAACTTTGCCTTGCTTAGCATTTTTGTCTTGTTTTCTAGTACATTCGGTTACACTTTATTTTAAGGTGTCCTTGTTACAGTGTAATTATACATGTGAGTACTGAGTAATATTAATTAACTACATGTACTTACTATATGGTTAGGGTTAGGATTTGGGGTTACTTGCATATAATTTATTGTTATTATAATAGTAAGTACATGTAACAATAAAGTGACTTTAAAATAAAGTGTTACCAAACATTCTTGAATCAAAATGCATTTACTGGAGAAGCAAAATGATTAAGATATTAGGGGATAGTTGCGTAACCATAGTCACCACGGTAAGACGGTGTCTTAGGAATCAGTTTGACTAACTAGCAGTTAACCAAGTGGTTACTTTTCAGAGTCAAATTAGATCAATCTACATTTTCAATGTAACTGACTTTAAAATATTACGACCAGTCTTGCAGAAAAACGTAGGACTAGTCTAAGCAGTTTATGCAACCAGCATAAATATCTGAAAAAATATCTGTCGGTGGGTTAAGAAAAATAATCTTAATTCAAAGAGAAAACAAGATTATTTTTCATGCCTCATTGGCAGATCCTAATTAAAAACTCACTTCATTTTGATAGTTTTCAGAAAGCAAGAATGAATCTCTTAATATCTCTGTTATTTTGCTTCTCAAGTAGATGTATCTTATGTATAGCACTGTCTATTCTCAATCCTAGATGTTCTCGGGTTATCACACAAAGCACTCTAACCCTTCTCCATTAATATATGCAATGCTGTGTTTGGTCAAAAGTTATCTTAGAATTATTGTTATGAATCATGTGCAGCACACATCTATGATTTGAAACAGATTTCTCATTCTGCTCCTAAAACACAAGAGGAAGGTTCTGTCATTAAAATCGCTCCACCTGACGTGTCTTCAGTGCTCTCGACGTCTGAACGAGTGACGTGCTTCTGTCAATCACGCAGTACCTTGTACTTTCCTTTCACGATGGCTTCAAACAGACGCTCCTTGGTGCCGTAAAAAGGCAAACAGCCGCTCAACAGGATGAAGAGAATGACCCCGCAACCCCAAACATCCACCGGCTTCCCGTACGGCTCTCGCTTGACCACTTCAGGAGCCATGAAGTGAGGGGTCCCTACCCGACCTACACACACACACAGAGA